AATAAGACAAAGAAATACAAAGATTTAATCCTTTTTCTTCAAACAAACGCAATCATCTATCGGCGGCTGTATCCAGAGGGCGTAACCTTCAAACTTCAAGACAAAAAGGAAAAGATAGACTCTGTTTCCAAAGCACGGAACCTTTTGAAAATCCAGATGAGTGAGCAAGAGAAAGGTGATAAAGAGGACAGTAAGTCCAGTGGCGAGCTGGACTCGGGGTCTTCTGGAGAGGACTCTCTGTCAGAGAAGGGAGCAGCGGCTCCTAAAAGTCCTTATAAACTGCGAAGAAGACAGGATAAGAAGAAATGAAGGCTGAAGGACTCTGTATTGGGCCTTTGAAAAGAGATGATTGTAATGAGATGCTTTGGGGTTTTTCTTTTTAACAGTTAATTTAAGATTTAAAAGTTGTAATAGTAGATCTGACTAAGTTCAAAAAATTGTTAGCGAGTTTAGAACTGACTTTGCACTTAAGAGATTTTGAGGATCTCCTCTCTTGGGATTTTAGATAATAGTGGGTTTTCTTTTCTTTATCCCTAAATGTAGTTCCCTTCCCTCATTTTCATTGTAGATTTGTAGTCTTTAAAAAACGAAATAAAAAAATCCCCTGGGGGGGGCAAAAAAAAAAAAAGGTTACTCGGAGTCAGTGACTGACTTCCACTTACACGCACACTCCATAATAGGGGAAATAACCCTGCTCCTGCCTGCGAGTGTGGGTTTATTTTATTTTATCAGTGCCCCCTGAATTAAGGCCCCCTGAATTAAGAAATCCTGGCTATGGGCCTGGTAAGGGCTAGTTAAAGGAAACATAACCTTGGAGCTGCTACTGTTATGCAGAAGGATTGACCCAGGAATTGAATTGTCTCCTGTTCTTAATGTGGTTGCAATCCCCCTAAAGGAGCAGGTTCGCAGCTTTGGGGTGCTGCTGGACTTGGGCCTCCTGCTTGGGCACTCTTCATTTTGGCTGGTGAGCCAGTTGTGGACAAAAATGAACTTGCTGCTGTGTGCACACCCTGGTAACATACAGATTAAATGAAAGCAATGTGCTTTATGTGGAACTGCCCTTGAACTGTGTGTAGACACTACAATTGGTACAGAATGCTGTGGTCAGAAAACAGATTGGAAGTGGGTTTTTGGAACCATATCACTCCAATTTTGTTCCACCTACACTGACTCCCAATTTGCTTCCAGGCACAATTGAAGGAGCTAGCACTGACCATTAAAGCCTATATGGTTTGGGACCAGCTTACCTTAAGAAGCACTTATCCAATCACTACAGTCATTTTTAGGGGCCTTGCTTCAGGTGCCCCAATCATTTGAGTTGAGATGGGTAGCAACCTGAGAAAGGACGTTCTCCATTGCGGTACCAAAACTATGGAATTCTTTTCCTAGGGAAATTTGTCCATTCCTGTCTATCACTGTCTTCCACGAGACAATGAAGACTTTGTTTTGTTCAGCAGTGCCTTACTGACCCTTCTACCTGTTTGTGTATTTTTAATTATTGTTTAATTGTTTTATTTATATTTTAAAGCCAATCCGAGTGTTTTGATTGGTTGGAAAGGCAGCATAAAATGTTTAAAATAAATGTCTTAAACAAATACATATATGCTCCTTTCCAAACCAGATCATAAATATACCTCAAACCACATTAATTAATGCTCATATTCAGCAAAGAACTGTAAATTATCTACAAACTAAATGTGGATTTTTTTGCATAATACTTCTCCCATAATCACACATTTTCAGAAATGAGCAGAAAGGCAACATTAGAACTCACAGCAACATTAATTAGAAAACAAAGTTTAATAGAAATTATAATGAAAGTATAATGGAAAGTTTCAATAAAGACCATCAGAAATTCAATTACACATAATTAAAATTAAAGGCCAGGGAAACACAATTACCAAATCATGTTTATATACTATACTTGCTATTTTTCAGTTGTTTTGTAGACTTTTTATGGGTGCTCCAATATACTGTGGTCTATAAAGAAAAATATAACCTCTCCGACTGCCTCATTTATCAGGCCAGTTCTTACATCTCCCTAGCTCAGCATTTTATTAAAATATTTTCCAACCAATACTTCTTCAATAGTGTATGCAAAATATTATGTGAGCCAACCAAAAGCATGCTAACGCTTGACTACGCACCACAAGATCTCTCCTTCTAGAGGTACTTGCTCTGCTCCTGTGCGACCCACTGACATCCAATGAGATGCTCTTAAGAACAAAATTGTTAGATAATGAAACTCAAAATAAAACTTCTTTACAAAAATGTTGTTTTAAAGTTTTTATTTGATTTCTATGTCTATATTTTATTTTTGTTTTATGCTAAAGTAATGAGCTGTATCCTGTTACTCTGTTCACCTAAAGCTGTCACTCTGCATTAATGAAATGCATTTTGCACTAACAAAATGCACCACCTTTTTAGCTGATTAAAGTAACAGGATATAACCCATCCTGTCTGCTACTGTAATTCTCATGTTTCTCCCACCATATTTGTTAATGCATACAGATGGGGTATTCCATGCCAAATCAATGAACACTACTCTTACATACATATGATGTACTAAGATGCCAAATTTCTAAAAAATGTAAACCATCCACCATTTTTTCCACCTCAAACCCGCATGACTGCATGGTACTATAATGATCAGGATGCATTTATTTGGGAGTTCAAGAACATGTTTAGAAACTCTAAGAAAAATCCTCATCTTTCAACCCATTTTTAAGATTACGTTACCATTAGGTGTTCTCTACTGCCAAACCTAACACATCATTACTAATTACAGTGTGCATACACTGCTACCTTCACTGAATATATAACATTAGATTAAATAATGCAAGTTAAATTCCACACAGGATGCAAGTCATTCATTTTTTACATACTTTATACCAGGAATGTGCTAGAAAAAGGATGTTTCAGGATAGCATTTCTTAAGAATTTCTACCCAAATACCTGCAATTTGAATTTAAAAAGCTTAATTTAGCGGAATAATTTGAATTGAAAATGATTTGCATGATGTATGGAATTTAAATTTTTATTCAAATTATTTAATCCACAGTATGTTACATATTCAGATGTCTCTTCACTGAACACTTCTAGTAATTTGAAATGAGGTGCGTGAAATCTAGCACTTGGTGAAACATAACGAAAGCTATTAATTAGTGCAAAACATCCTAAATGTTTGGCTGCCAATTGCTGGTTATATTCTGTTAATTTTGGCACCATAGCACTTTACATTTTTTGTTTGGGGGGCTGTTGAGTATTTTTTTGCATTTTGTGTGTGCATTCGTGTGTGTCCACACCTAGAAGTCATGGTGACCTCTGGCAATACCTACTGGGGCACAGAGGATGTTCAGAGAAGTGGCTTGATAGTCTGCCTCTGGCCTACTGGCTCTGGTATTCTCTGGAGGTCTCCCATCCAAATACTTGCCAGGGTCAGCGCTGCTTAGCTTCCAAGATCTGACGAGATTGGGCTTGCCTGGGCTATCCAGATCAGGGTAGCATTTTACATTTTTAAAAGAGATCCCAAGCTTCAAAATGTAGCCTTAATGGCTATTGTACAAAGAGTACACCTAATTTTACGGCACAAAGAATAACCATATGTTTTATGGGAAATATGAGGAGAGAAATTTTTGAAAGGCTCTGCCCCTGTGACAGAGCACGGTGATCCCCCAAAGTGCTCAAAAAACACTTTTGTACTATATAGTCCACACCTTCAAAATGTACTGCACAAGGAGGAAATCTAGTCTGTGTACAATTACTTAGACTTGCATGGAAAGGAATGCTCTTCTGCTTGCACAAAAGCCAGCAGCATGGATTAGTATGACAGAATCCAAACCAAGGACACCCCCCCCCCTTTTGCTATGTGAGAATTTCCTGCTGTTGAAGGAGAAAAGAAGTCCTGGGATCTAACTCATTATCCTTGAAGTGTTTCAAACACTACATAAATCTATAAAAATATAAAAGATAGCTTTATGAACATTACCATAAGCAAAAACTACTAACCCGGTGGCTACCAGCATTCCGAGAGGACACCAAGCCATCAGCTCCCTAATTATAAAATTAAACAACAAATGAAGTGACATTTAATAGAAGGGGAGGGAGGAAAAGGAAAACAGATTTATATTTAGTACAAACCAGGTATGACCGATGGCTGGGCCGGTGTGAATACTTAGCCTTCTCTGAATCATCCTACAAAAGGGGATATCAGATGTCAAGTTATTTATGAAAAAAATAAGAGCACAAAGAGCTAGTATTTTCAAAACAGAAAAAGATTCAGAAATTTTGGTATAAAACAGGACCATACTGATTACAGAGGCCAGTCTGGTTATTCTTTAAATGGAGTCTGCTTCAATTGGCCATGTATCACATTTCCCCTAAATTTGTTTCAGCATTGAGGTAAATAACTGGATTATTATAAAGGATTAATAAAAGGCATGCAAGCATCACTCTTTAATGTAACTAGCAAAGATGGACAGGCATTCAACATTTTGCAATAAGCTGCTGGAAACACTACAATATTTCCTCTACAGAAACAGCCAAAGCCTACTTCTACTTCTTTAATAACTTTATATTCTAACAGTAAACTGACTGTTGCCACACAATTCACAGAAGCAGCAACTAACAGGAATGGCCGTATTCAGGGGTCTGCCAAAATACGACTTTGTTAATTATCCAAAAGAAAAAAATGGGAGGGGGGGTTGAACACAACCTAACAAGGACTGGAAGTTCTCCAGGACATGAGCAGCTGAGAAGTGGCAATTAGCCTGCTGCAGTCCCTTAGCTGAGTGCTGAGCACTTCACTGGGTCTGAGTGAATCCTGAAGAGGAAAATCATGGGATAGGGCTTTCCAAATTGCTCTGCTCTCCCATTATTTCTCACAAGACTATATTACACATATACAAACAGGTAGAGACTGTACGATTATGCTACAAGAACTGTACATTCTTGCTGATGTGAATTGTGATATTACTTACAACAAACAACCAGAGAAATATCTTGACAGAATAGACATTTTAAAAATCAGCCACCAATTAGGGCTTAATAATAAGAAAGGAAGTCTACTTTTACAAGCATACTGACACAAAAAAATCTGATTAGCATGCATGCTGTATCAGCTTACTTAATTGTAAGGGCAAGGAAATGAATGCAGTTACATAATGTTAGCCGTATCCTGTCATAACCTGTATAAGAATTTTTCCCCTTTATTGGAATTAATAATTAAACAGTTATCCAGAGTTTAGATCTGATGAAATCATATTGATTTTAGGGCATAGTGCACTAAGAAAATAATATATTTTAAAACATTATATGGGACACATATCTATGGGTATCCTGGAGACACGTCTATATTAATATTGATAACTATGAGAGTTCTTTACAACCAAGTGCTGAATTAATTTCTACTTTTATTAAGAGTCATTCTTAATCTTATCAGTAATACCAGAAAGTCCCAAAGAACAACAGAGAATGGCCAAGGAAAGCTTGGGATATTATTATTTTGGTGAGAATATAATTTATGTAGTATGGTAAACAAAGCATAATATGAAATTATTTCCCTGAAGTTCCCCTTATTAAGCACTATTATAACTTAGAGTATGACCCAGGCAAAGTTGAGCAGTTTTAAGTCCCATGGGAGAGCAATACATGCTTGTCATTTGGATCCATTTTTATGTTTTTAGAAACGCTATCATTGCTTTTGTTTACTGTGTGTGTATAATTCAATTTAACTTTTTAATTTCAATTATGCATATGCCCACCTTTCTTCCAGATGACCAGAAACCAAGATGGGTAACAGAAGTAAAACAATTCAAGCAACCAATAAATATGAATAATACACTTACAACCATCAAAAGCAGGTACACAAGCATCATCTAATTTGAAGACCTCTGACCAAGAATTCCCAGACTCCTCTAATGTTTTATTTCATTATGTAAATGGTCTGTATATAAATTTAAGCGTTTATTCAGACACATGTTACTGTTCATGCAAGTTATATGTGTCTATACTGTACTCTACCACTCAAACTGCACACTCTGTACAAGCTATTAGTAAGTGGATCACTGCAATCATATTAGTGGTCTTATAACACACAATGGGCAATCCCGGCCTACCATCCACTTTTGGATATGTCCCCATTTTCTATCGTAACAACGCTGAGAAAGCTACAAAAAGGTAAAAATAATCTTACTTGACAAATAAATACAGAGGTTCCAACATTCGCATCCTGCTCACAGATTTTTTTTAAAGTACAGAAAAACTCAAGACATTCATATTCAAATATTGTATGAAACAAGAGGTAGGTTAGATTCTAGTAGCCCCTTAGAGACCAACAAGACTTCCAGGGTATTTTGAGATTCAAAGCTCCCTTCATCAGTATGAAACAAGCTATCTTTAAACGTTGCATTGTGACTGTGTCCTTATTTCACCTCCACAGTTTTACTCCATTAGCACAGGCTATGTATGAATAAAACATCTAGTATTACAAAAACTGAATCTGATCCATGCTAAGGGTTAGTCTATACAATACAGCTTACCACTTTTCTGGCTGGTGACATGATTGCTGGGAAGAGTACTGCCACAAATATTGATTGTTGCCAGAGTGAATCTGCATTGCATGATGCAAAGGATTTAAAAAACAACAACACTTTTTCCTGGAGCTCTGGAGTTTCCATATCCATAAATCATTGTTACTTTTCTACAGGAAGTTATAGAAGTACAGAGAACACCTAGCAATCCATAACTTCCTCTTAGATATATACTCTTAGACTGCAATCTTATGTGGACAATAACCAACTAGGACACTGTGAGATCTGCTTCTGAACAAATACAAACTCTTGCCTTGCAGGATCAGAGGTCAGAAACACATACTGCAGCCATTATTCCCTAGACAACATACTGAGATTCATTTAAGGGAGTCAATACAAGTGACATCACTAAGGGAAAGTGAAAAAAGAAAAATCTGGGACTGGAAGAAGGTGGAGGACTGGTTGGGACAAAGTTATTTTATAACTATGTGTCAGATAGGACCGAAGGGTACTACTCACCCTTATTTCAATATTCTCTGTTAACAAATATTTCACAAAGAATACTGAATAAAGATCAGGGGAACCAAAACAAAACTGAGTTTGAATTATTGCTCGAAATTTAAGCACAGATGGAATAATAATATAATACATTGTTGCTTAATCTGCAGAATGGAAGTGGAAAGTGCTGTCAAATCATAGACAATTTCTGGTGATGCTATAAGGTTTTCAAAGCAAGAGACAAACAGAGGTGGCTTGTCTTTGCCTGCCTCTGTGTAGTAACTCTGGACTTCCTTGGTGATCTCCACTGGGAAGAAAAGTGGAGTATAAATGAAGTTAAAAAATACCAAATATATTACTGGACTTGAATTGCTGTAGAATCCAAAGATATTTTAACCAAGATTTGTTTTAACAGACGTGAGTGTATGGATGACAGAGAATTAATTATAATTTTGATAACTTCTGCACAAATGTATCTGGCATCTGCTTGCAACAGAAGGTCTGGATTACTGATAATGGACTGGCATAAAAAAAGATCTGGGCTGTGCTTTTTTTGTTTTTAACTACAAACATATATCCTAAAACAGAAGGGATGAAACTCCATTGAATAGATATCTTCCAATCTGCATTTTGTTTATAGAGCACTGGAATACAAACTTTCATGATTCACATTTTTTTCATGTTTCTATATTGTTTTCCTTGATTTAGAGTCTTTAAAAACAATAAAATAAACAAAAACATAAATCTAACTGAATGTTGAAGCCAGTATTTGAAAGCAATTGGTTAAGAAATAAATTTATCCACCACCATTGAATAACATAAAGTTTATATATAAACAAGCAGTGACAAGAACTTCATAAACATTTTTACATCATACAACAAAGCATTTGGATGCAAAATTATAAGTTTTGTACTTCCTCTGAGAACTACTGAGAGAAGCTACAATAAAACCACTGTTAGGTACCACAATGACATTTCTTGCTGCCATGTTGACCTGGGATTTGTTGAGCCCTGATATATAATAGGTACACTAATTTTTAGCACAGGGTTATAATGTCGTCAGTCTGCACTACCAAACCCTCAGTGTGGATCTTCATTATCCACATTAAGAATGCTTCACCTATTACCTTACTACAACTGCTTCTCTTTTTACAGGTTTTAAGTCTTTGGTAGGGTAAGGCAGGGGATAACATGCCTGAGAATGTAGGAATCTGTCACTGTAAATTACTCTGTATGTCCCAGAAGTTGCCCTTCCATCATAGCCAGCATACTGAAATATTCTCCATCTTCCAGGTACATACGTATAAGGAAGGGTAAGAGAGCAGACTTCTTTGCTTCCAGCCTTGCTAGTAAGTTGAATTATGTGTCACTGAAAACTCATTCAACTTAACAGGAATTTGGAACTCCATGGTCCTTGGCTGCATCCAACAGGTTGGATACTGACAACTGCAAGCAGAGCACCACTAGCAGAATGGAACTTTCCTGCTGGTCCGCTCCACCTGCCAGCCTCTAATCTGGAGAACTGGGTTTGATTCCCCACTCCTCCAAATAAAGCCTGCTGGGTGACCTTAGGCCAGTTATAGTTCCCTCAGAACTCTCTCAGCTTGACCTACCTCACAAAGTGTCTGCTGTGGGGAGACTAAGGGAATGTGATTGTAAGCCACTTTGAGACTCCTTAAGGTAGAGAAAAGTGGGGTATAAAATCCTACTCCTTCTTTCCCTCCCAAAAAACTTTCCCTGAGAGTCGTGGGACATGCAGGAACAGAATGGGATAAAACATGGGAAACAGCATCTCTAAGGGGAAAACCTGCTTGCTGAAGTACCTTCCAGTTATGCAAGGGCTATTTTGGAACTAGCTGATGTATTTAATACCCTACATCTCATCTTTTTAATTTATTTGTTTGCATCATCGCAGAATACAGAGAACGATCCCCTGCACAAATCCACTGATCATGTGTAACTGTGGTCCCAGCACAGGTAAGCAGCTTAGTCATCAAGCTTTTATTCTTCTTCCAAATCTTTCTTTATTCTGGCCCAATGTGTATTATGCTTTCTGTCTCCTCCACCCCGTTCGAAGCCTCTCTGCATTACAAAAGAGTACCTCTCCATGTCCAAAGTGCTTAAGAACTATATTAACTCTTCCAAAACTAAATCTCAGATATTCTTTGCTTCCCCATGTTGCAATAGCACCACTAACAAAACCACAAAAACACATAGTACTTTTGTCAGTTTTAATAGAGAACAGTAAAACAAATCCTATTCTGACCCCGCCCCCAAACAAGTTCACCATTTAAATCTAATGTGCACAAAGATTTTCTGCAAGGCAGATCTGTGTGCTACATTCTGAGAGATACATGTGCAATAGCTGTCAACGTATTGGAAGCTTTTTCTGTTCTGGATTCCAAATTACAGCTGACCAAATGACCTATCAGCATGGCTATTAGATTTTATACCTGAGCCTATTTTTGGAGGTAGAGTGGGATATAAATTTAATTAATAAAATAAATAAAAACCTTGCATTAAAAGTACACAAAGTGTTCAACTATGTCTGAATAATGTTTATTTACATACACTTATACTTTTAGTTAAAAACTTAAGTCATACACAAAATATTTTTAGTCAAAAATAATTAACACATAAGAACCACTAACAAAGAAAACAGTAAAGAATTAGAATATGACATAACCGAAGACTGAAATCAACAAAACTGATCACGATGTTAGTTTCAAAAGGCCATCTGAAATCTACAGAAAGTCAGAAAAATTGGACCCCCAAATGGGAAAGTTCTGCTCTTTGCAGAGGTCAATCTTGCCTCTGAATGAGGTGACACCTGGAAAATCAATTAGAAAAGTATCTTGTAAGCTTTCAGAATTCCTAAAGATATGTAGCAATGTCAAATGATTACAGAGCCAGTTCATGTTATTCTGATACAAATTCTCTGCTAAAGTTAAGATGATCAAAATTTTGCTTTAAGTGTAATTGTATCAGTACCTCTTTCTGTTGTCGTTCCAGTTCCCTCATGCGAATATCTCGTGCTTCTGCTCGGGCTGCACGTTTGGCTGCAAGCCGTGCTTCTGCCTGTCACATTGAAAGAAAATGCTTTTTAAAACTGTCACACCCAAAGAAAGATTATTGTACTATTTTTTTTAATAAAAAGTTACTAATCAAAACATAACAGAAAACACTACAAGGCCTAAATATAGAAGTGATGGATTGCTAAGAATATTACTTATTAAGAGAATAGAGGATCACATGTGCAAAGAAAACTCACAAACTCTCTATTGTGTTACCACAGATTCTGTAAGACTATTTAAACAGAGAGGGTCTCTAGTTCAAAAGTAGAACATTGGTAGGCATGCAGAAAGTCCCAGGTTTAATCCCCAGCATCTCCATTTAAGATCAGGTAGTAGGTGACGTGAAAGACCTCCACCTGAGACCATGGAGGGCTGCTGCCAGTCTGAGTAGACAATGCTGACTTATGATGGACCAAGGGTCTAAGTCAGTGTAAGGCACTGTCATATTCATATGAGACAGCTGCTCTTGCCTTGCATTTTCCAACTGATTAATTGTATTCAGTTATCAATTCACTTACTACATATCTTCTCTATATACACACTATACAGACTTCCTTCATATATTATATATATACACACAACACTGTTTTCTTCTTTGCTCCAAGTGGTTTGCAGAAAAAAAGCCTGCCTGGACTATACAGCTGTACAATGTTGTCTGAATGGAAGGAGAGGATGCACTTACTTGTTTCCACTAGGAAACAAATGGATGTCATGGCTTTTTCAATTTCTCATTTGTTTTCCTAGAAACATTTATATCAAGTCAACTTGATCATTAATATTATATTCCAAACTCTGTGCAACCGTACCTCAGCTCTAGGCAAATAACCCTAAAATTTAACCCAAAAGAAATTCTATCTGTGTCTAATTTAGAGAAGAAACACTAGGCTATCACAGGCTGGATTCTGGACAATCACCAGTGAGGTCCAGGATCTACCAATCAATATGCAGCCTAAAGTTCCCCAAAGGACAATTAAGCTCAGAAGTTTTGATCCAATACTAGAGTAGAGTCTACTTCTGCACTAAACAACAGCAGATTCTCCTCACTGACACTGAGGTGCCTAATAGAGGCTTCATCTTCACTAGTCCTTAATCTTTGTTGCTGGTTTTGTTCCTGGATGTGCTGCCAATGTGGAAATCACAGGATTCCCTTCCCCCTTTTTCTTCCATACTACCAGTCGCTGAAATCACTGTAAACTCATCAAGGAAGAGTATACTTTCCAGCTTCCCTTAATAGAATTCACCTACCCCTTCTTCCCTATCCTCTCTGGCTTCTTAGCATCTCTTCCTTCTCTGACAGCCAGTAGTTCCCATAGCATGCCTCACTTCTTCCCTTTTTCATTCCAAAATCTCCTCTATCTGGGCTAGCTTTTCTCTGGACAAGCCAAGTGGGAGGGATATACTTTGGAGTAAAAGTAACTATAATTCGGTGATACAATTGAACATTATGATGCAAAGTGATTTTTTAAAAATTGGATTATCACATGTAGATAAAGTGTTGCTGTATTGTCACCCATTGAACAGTATAATCTTACTGTCTTGTGCTACTCTTTTGCCCTCCCTCTTTTATTCTTTATCTTGGTTAGGTCTACTTTCTGGTTAAGTATTTGTCTCCCTTCCATCTTTCCTTCACTGGGAGATTTACTGTTCTGAATTGGGAACTGTAAACAAACAGGACAATAGTACCGGTACCCCTGTACCCTCAGAAGAATAGAATACCATCTATACAAACTTTATATTGTCCAACAAAGTAAACCCAAGATCCAATAAGAAAGTATTAATGTATTTCAGTATTTCAACCAAGAGTCAGTGATATTAGATTTTTTTAAAATTTGATTTTGTAAAAACCTTTCGATTTGTTTAAGTCACCCAGCACAACATATATTGTGGGTATAAGGCTTATCATACTGGAGGATTTGAATTAATACTCACTGTGTTAGTTCCTATTAAAGGAACACTGTAATTTGAATATAACTCTTTACCTAAAGAAGAGAGTAAAGACAGTATATTTTCTGCCTAATATCTATAAATATCACTAGGTCTTCCCCTGAGTCTCTGCCATACCTCAACTTCCCCAGTTTTCCTAGCTTTTTGAAAAAACCAGACCTATACATTGAAATTATAGAGAAGAGTTTGGGAGCCAATAAAGAAGATTTATCCTAGATCCTGAGAACCAACTGGGTTAACGAGCCAAGAGGTTTTTCCAACTAAAATCAAGCAGAGAGGGCATTTCAGCAGAGGATGGTTCATTTGCCCAGCAAATGGAACACTGGATACTCACCATGTAGATTTCTTTTATCTGGAGCTTGAGGACATCATTTTAAGTACTGGAAGACCTTCCCATCATCCTTTGGAGGCAGGAAATTGGTTGTACTCTCCCTTAGAACCGTTGATTCTTAGTTCTGAGACTTCCAAAGCCCAAGCAGAGAGAAAAAAACATACCAAAAAAAAACCACACACACACAACTCCAAACAACATGGTACAAACACAACTAAACATAAACATGAGGTGACAAACATGATAGTGAGGAGACTAACAAAGAAGAAATAATTACATATACTGAAGACAGAAATTATATAGACTATGTGGCAGCAGAAATCTCTGTGGCTCCCTAGCCCATAATCCCCTTAACGTAACGGTGAAGCTGGATACAGATTGGGGGTGAAGTGTTCTTGCTGTAGGTATGTGACTGGGGCCTCAACTAGCGCTGAGGGATCAGTCTGGTAAACAGTAGCAGGCTGGGTAGGGGCTACCATTTCATTATGCTTTCATCAGAAGACTGTAGAAACAGCCACACATGGATCCAGTATCAGAAGAACCTTTATTCCTCTGCTGACAAGTTCAATGTAACCCTTTTGCATTCTCCTTCAGGATGTTACTTCACTCCCGCCTATCCATACCAAGAAGAAGAAGAGGAAGAGGAGGAGGAGATTGGATTTATACCCCGCCCTTCACTACCCAAAGGTGTCTCAGAGCGGCTTGACTCCCTCCCTCTTATCTTGATCTACCCCCTAGCTCCTGATGGGCTGCCCTTTTCAAGTCTCACCCAGCCATATGTGATTCCTCTGCATGTATCTCAACAACCACCACACCCCTCTGATGCATCACCCTTTGGCCAAGTCCCTGGAGCTAGCCATCCCTGCCCTAGGAAACCAATACATGGCCAGATCCTAGCTACAGGGGTTCCCCCCCTTTCCTTGGCCTCTGCTGATCCAGACCTCTGCCAGGATGGCCTCCACCTGCCCCTATTCTCCTGTCTCCTGTGGTTTCTGGCTGCTGGCATCCTTTCTAAGTTGCAGCTGCCCATTGTGCATCTAGCCTCATTCACACTGTCCATAGCTGCCACACTTCAGTGATGTACTGTTCCACTGCTTGGCTTGGGAAGAACTGTGGTCAACGCCCCAAGTAATTGTGCTGAGATAGTCAACAGTGATTTTTTAAAAAGTGAAGACACAAACAAAATAATGAAGAGAAGGGACTGCAACATGAAAGCCACAAACCAGAAATGTTCAAACATGTATAAGAAAAAGAAGCAGAGAACTCAGATTTCCCTGTTCTCTTGATGGAGGCAGGAAAAAACTGACGATCAACAGCTCTAAGGGAAAGGAGTCAGAGGATTCCAACTAATTTCCTGCCTCCAAAGGATGATAGGAAAGTCTTCTGATACGAAAATCATGCCCTCAGTTTCAGATATGAAATTTCTCTTCATTGACTCCAAAACAACAAAACAGGGATCCCACTATTACAGCATAGTATTTCTCTACACATGGAACTGCATGTCCAGTATAACATATCACAATAAATTCAAGGATATTTTTTAACATATTAAAAGCTTGTTGAAGATACATCAAATTCTATTAAACTTCAAATTCTATTTGACGACTGGGAAATATTTAAGAACAGGAGTAAGAACCTAAGCCACACATTCACCATTCAGGACAGTTTATACAGTGACCATTTTAAAAAAATCAAGTTGAGACTCTGACATTATAGGTTCAGAATTGCATAAGACCATACTACTGATCTTATCCAAAAACAAGACACCCCCAAACATATCCCTTTGGTTTGCTAGTCAGAAACTATCCAGTTTCTGAAGAATTTTGCTTACCATTAATACTCATAAGTTCCAGTTTAGAGACGTTTTCCTTACAGTGATTTAGGGAGGGCCATGGCTCAGTGGTAGAGCATCTGCCCGGAATGCAGAAGGTCCCAGGTCAGTCCCCAGTATTTCCAGCTAAGCAGACTGGGCAGTAGTAGATGTGAAAGAGCTCATGTGAAAGACCTCTACCTGACAAGCTGGAGAGCTGATGCCAGTCTGTGTTATCAACACTGATGGTGATGGAACAATAGTCTGATTCAGCACAAATCAAATTCACATGAGATTATTAAACCAAACAGCACTGAAAATTATTTTATTTATTTAAAACATTTTTATGATGTCTTTCCACCCAGTCTGGTGTCTCCAAGGCAGTGAACAATCCAAAAAAATGAAAACAAAACTTTTGAAAAACTTTAAACACACACACACACACAGAGAGAAAAAAACCCCAATTAAACAGACATGCTAACAGAAAGGGGAAGGAGGAAGAAATGCCAAACAGAACAGAAAAGTCTTCACCCAGTTGTGGAAGACAAATGATTATAGGGGGATAGAAAAATCTCCCTGAGGAAGGAATTCCCTAATTTAGTGCCGTTACCACAAATATCCTCTCTTGAGTTGCCACCTACCTAGTGACTGTAGAGATTGGATAGATTTATATGGTCGAATGTGACCTCAAAACAGTATTGAAGTGTTTGATGTATTTTTTCATTACATCTTTTACGTGCATTTGAATACAGTCAATGCACAAAAACTCCTCTTTCAATTTAAATACCTCAGAGTGAACTGTATGATTCATTCTGAACTATCTTCAGTATTGTTAAGTACAATTTCTAATACTCATACCAGTAATTTTCTACAAATCCACCGAGTTTATGCTTTGCTTAAATGGTACAACGGGCAGGTAGTCCACAGAGGTTTGATACAGAAAGTCATTACATATGAATCACTGTTATTGACCATTCTTATTGATATTTAATACTGCATATTAGTTCATTGACAAGTGTGTTTATAATTTAATATTTTATATGAAATATGGTTTCAGGAGCCTACTTTGTCCAATGCATTAATTATCTTCAGTAGCAGCTCTTTACCATGATAGCTAACAGAAAAATATGGGGTTCATACAAACCACAAAAGCAGCAAAACTAGGTTATGCTATTACCACAAAACTTCACTCTCCACTTGATTGGTGTAAGTCTCCTTCCCCTTGGCTTGTAACCAGCCCACCAGTTCTGTCAAACTCAAGAAATTCCAGCAACTCCTTGTCTCGAAGAGATAATCTTATTGATTGTCTACTGCTTGTCTACTGAGTCTCAAGCAAGCCCAGAGAAGTGAAGTGTGGTACAATGAAGAAATCAAAGAGAAACTAAACATGTTGATTTAATCAAGTGCTTTTCAAACCTGATACTGTCTTATTGCACTAACAAAAATGGTTCAGGTAACGTAAGTTCCTAATAGAGACTTCTCCTTTTTAATGACTGAAGTTTTACAGTTTATTTACACTCTTTGCTTTCACCCAGCTTCCAGTGATGTTATAAAGACAACCTTTAACGCAGCTTCTTTCTGTCCAGAAAACTCCCTCTTTCCTTATTTGCAAATTCCCTTATAGCCAATCCAGAGGCTTGCCCCGACTTCACAGGAATCCCCCTGCCTATTTCCATGCTCAGGAAAGCCAAATACTGTGTTTTCCCATTATTCCTTCTTCTCTATACCTAAAGTTCCAACAAACCTCAAGGTTCACGCACACTCAATCTGATATTGAGGCTCTGCTCTGCTGCATTCCCTGAATTCTCAGTCTTGTGCTTCCCCCATCTCCAGTTCCTATTTGCTTTTCCACTGAACTCTTTCCTGGAACTCTTCCTTCAATTTTTACCTGGACTTGCTTTCTTAGGTGTTCAAGTGACCTTGCCTAATACCCTCCTTGAACCACAGACCTTCCAGAAGGTTTGAAGGCTGTTGGGCTGCCTAGAAACTACACCATGATGAAAGATAGATACTCCTGTTCTAGAGAGTTCAAAACTGTCTACCCATTACTCCTGCATCTGAGAAAATCAGCAACAATGTGATTGACAAGTTCACGTGGCAGACACTGCAAGTACTAGATTTAAGATACATTGGTACCAACCTAAGAATTATAGGGGAATACACTGAAATAGTTTAAGTGTACCCGCTCAATATGAGTAAAGGATTTAGAGCTGAATCCTCTGAAAGACGCAATGAAAAACCAGATAGCATGTCAAGATGATTGATTCTAATACAGTAGAGATGTGAAACTAAGATTTATAATGGTTTATCAATTATGATGATTAAAAAGGAGATGCTAATTTGAGGGTATCACAATAACTGATGGAATCTATTTGTTTCAGTGAGTATTTGTGGAAGGATTTTATATGTAAGTGTGTTTTGATGTAAAAGTAATGCTTTATTTTTACAGTTTCTATGAACTTTATACTTTGCATTACTTTCAATAATAAAAAAATTAAAAGATGAAATAGCACAACAGCTGATTTTATTAAAGGTGGTCTTACAAGAGGCTTATGGGCATGCATAAAGCAACTGACCAAAGTCAGCAATGTTTCTTTAAACCAACCACAGAGACCAAAAATTGTACCTCTTAACTATTCTCCACTTTTGTAGTCGATCTGCTCCACTTGTCTCCGAAATCCCTCTTGCAGCAAATCCCCTTCTTCCCCCAAAGTAACTAAATACCAGCATCTGCTGAATACAGCGGCTTTCTGTCCGTCCGTCCCCCACCACCTACAGTCCATTTGGCAACATTCCGATGTTGTACTGCAGCTTTGCGTAGCATTGTTGCAACACTCTGAAGGGCTACACATGTCCTGTCACAAGGTCTCTTCAGTTTACAAAATCATTAAGGTACGACAAGTTGCAAGAAGCATATAATAAGGAATTTTCAAGCATTTTGAATTTTAGCACAAACGTTCATAGTGCTTCAATTTGCTTTAAATTAATAAAGATTGCAGCTATGTGTTTTGAAGAGATCAATATACATATCAACAATCTTCAGATCACAATGTAAACACAGCATCAACTTCTTAGTACCATGCCAGAAAAGTTTAAAAGAATCTGCAACCATCTGCACCACAATTTTAGTCATTTTTAAATAACCATTTTAACTGGGAATTATAGATGTACCAACCTCTCTGGCAATATGACTCAAGGCTTCATCTTCTGCTGAGAATCTGTCTTTCACTGGTGTTCTTTTTCTTCCCGATCCAGGAGTCCCCATGTTTAAATATACCTTCAGTAATTCTCTTGCAGGATTGTATCAGATCCAAGTGGCCAGATCTAAAATGAAGTTAGAAGATTAACAGGGTTATTTTTAGATATATTTTACATATTTACTACTAATTGTTCAAAGATCTGAGCAATCAAGACCATTTCTACAATGTTTCCTTCCCATACATATATTCTTAATACTGACAATCTGTTATTATGAAATACAAGCTAGTTCTTTCACAAGCCAGGATTCTAAACTCATAGCTTAAATGTAGTGGAGATAAACACACTTAAGATTGCATTGTTAGTCAAGTTTCAAAAACTTCTAAGGACACCTTGTACTGTTATAAATGTGTTTCTAGGTACTAGTCACCAAGAACCACGTGCCTAAAAATAGAACTACAAATGTAACTTTACTTATTTCCAGTCGAAATCTTTCACACAATGGATGAACAGATGTGACTTTTTGAAGTCCTCATACCCTTTATGCTAACAAACAAAACAGTTTTGTTCCAAATTCTTTTAGACAGCCTAAACCTATTACCATTTCCAGTTCTGCAGCTGAGTTTAAAAGAAGATGCTTTAAAGAAAAGCAGCTCCAGATATTTTACAAGAAGTCACTCGATACTTTATTGGAAGGAATGACATATAGTTTACTTACACAGTATTTTAATGACCTAAGCACACCTGAACTTTGTGTTGCAACTTTTGATTCTGAATTTTCTTTAAGTCATTTTCATTCTCTACATTCTGTTTGCTCCAATGTCTAACCGTTCACTACAGATCTATAGTATCTCACTTCAGTTTGGCACTACTGTATCTTTAAACTTCAAACACTCAAGATTGTGGGCTTCTCTAGTATCACCCAGAGAAAGAGAAATACTATAGGACACAGTACTGTCAGGCTCATCTGGTACCATCTGCTCTGTGGCCTGGGCCTGTGCCAGCAGAATGAGTATCAAATATATGCAATGCACTGGGTATCCTGGTTAAGAATGTACTATAAATACACAAGGCATACCTTTTTTTATGCACACATGTTCTTTAAAATCCACCTGGACAGAAATAGTGACACCTGCTGAATCTCTCAGTCAATGAAATAGAAGGCCAAGCTACAAGTTAACATGAAGCTGTATACAACATTAACTGAAAAACTTCTTTTCTAAAACACAGGATTATGTTCCTGACAACTGTTGGAAGTGAAGGACTTTGCGCTGTCTCTTTGCCTCAGACTACAGAGTAAAACTACAAGAGAGTCAGGCTGTGGTCACACACATGAAATAATCCACTTTCAATCCACTTTCAGTGCACTTTCCAACTGGATTTTACTGTGTAAAGGCCTCAGAAAGCTAGATAGGCAGGACACTGACCACCCTTGCTTTTAGTACTCTCTGACTATCCCTTTGAAGTGTACATTGCTACTCTTAGGAAAAGTTTCCTTCCTTCTGGCTTCTCCCTCAGTCTCCACACAATGCCATGTTTCTCCATCTTGGCAGCATGAGAGCAGGATGTCTTTCCTGCATCTCCATCCATCTAGCTAGTTAGACTAGATTACGGAACCTATCTCTCCCCTATCCTATTTAGAATGGAGTTCCTTAAATAAAAGGACTCATTTTAGTTTTGCAAATATAAAGAGGCACTGTGTAACTTTGTTTCTTGGTCTCACACATACTATGCCAGATGGCTTCGCTGCGCTTGTGAGCCTTTGTGCACTCTGCTACCGATATATTCCAGTAACAAGGACTGGACCTGAGACCTTTGATGTGTCCCTATAATGCAGCTACGGTGCTCCTGCAAGGTGCTCCTACATAATCAAACACCTCAGAAGGCAATTACGAAACATAACATAAAAGGGTTAAAAGACTCATCACTTAAACACACAACGATTCCTTCCATAATTGTATTTACATGAAATAGGCAATAACTGGCCTAAGGCATTGCTTTGCCTGTCTGCAATAGCCCCCGCTGCTTCCACAGTGGCTGGATGCTGTGACATCATGGGATGTTTATCAACATTTAAATGTGCAATGAAAACACTGTCGTTTATGTACATGAAAAGTCACTACGGATGACAGTACTGTTCGATAATGGTCAGAGTGTCAGACAAAGATCTATGAGGTTCAAGCCACCTCTCTGCCATAAAGCTTGTTGAGTGACTTTAGACCAGTCACACACTTTCAGCCTAACCTAATTCACAAAATTATTGTGAAGTTTTAATAAGGAAGGAATGATGGAGTAACAATGTATATCAAAACTTTACATGGTGTCTAAGAATAAGAGTTGTGCACTTTGAGTAGAAAGAAATGTGGCAGGGACAAGGGGCAAAGCAGGCTAAAGTTTATGAAGTAACAAAAAGAAAGGTTGTTGGGTAAAAAAGTTAAAGGCCAAGAAAGAGAGATAAAAGTAGGACACAAAGGTTAGACAAGGCAGGTGATGGGAGGGCAGAAGAAACAGAAAACTGAGGAAACAGAGAAAGGTGGTTGGAGAAAACCTATCACATACACTAAGAACAGAACAATGTGTTTTAGCATGTTCTGCTGGAATGTGGGGGGAGGGGGAGTTCGGGAAAAAGGAGATGAGAGAGTGTCCTGCTTGTGCCCAGGGGCGGGCAGAATTTTCATGAACACAGTCAAGCCTAGGTCTTGATGATAACCAAGCTGCAGTGCTCTGCACTAACTGGAATCTCCACAAGCTGAGAAGAGACCCTAAGTAGAGTGCACTGCAATAGTCTAGTCTTGATGTTACTGTGGAGTGGAACCAGGTGGCCACATTAGCCATGTCAAGGTAGGGGGCCATCTTCCAGGCTAGACTAATGCTGGATCCCATTGAAAATAGGAAACACAGTGTTTTCCAACCAGCATCATTTCTATCTTGGCTGGGTTCAGTTTTAATCTGTTCACCTGACCACAGCAGTCAGGCAGCAGCTCAAGACCTCAACTGCATCACCAGTGGATTTTTATGGACATACACAGCTAAGCGTCATATGCATATTGATGTCATCCAGTTCGAAATCTACAAATGATTTTTCCCAAAGGCTTTATGTAGAGGTTGAATAACAAGGGGAAGAAGATTGTGGAACCGCCCAAGAAAGTGAGGCCACCAGGGCCACCTCTGTCCCATAACTCAGCCTGAAAAAGGTCCAGAATACATGAGTTACCTAAGAAGATCTGGAGATGGTACACTACTGGTCTCTCAATAACATTCCCAAGAAAGGCAGATTAGAGACTGAGCACTAATTGACCACATCATTTTTCTATAGGGATGGTTTTTAAAGTAGTGGACAGATAATCACCACAGGAATACAATATGAGCATGAATTAAATATGAATACAACTAACACAGGTGTGAAGGAAGAATTCACAAAGAATCTAGGAACAGGGAAAGGGTGCTATTAGCCAGAAATGAATAGACCCTAAGAGGTTGGTCAAAGACCAGCAAAGGGCCTAAATTTCAATTATTAGCCAGCAATCTAGTTACCAATGATTACAGAACCACTTGTTCTATTGTAAATATATTTTAACAATGCTTTATACAGCTTCTGATGGATGAGCCAATGCAATTGCTTTGTCACACCTGAGCCAAGCAAGACTTTTATGATAAGGAGGTATATATTTGCCTTACAGGATAAACATATGGAGCAGAGGTCCATCAGTCGCTATTAGCCACAAGGCTCCAGTGGTTAAGATGCTGAAGTGCCGATCGAAAGGTCAGTAGTTCAGCAGTTCGAGACCCAAGTGCTGCATGACGGAGTGAGCTCCGGTTTCTGGCCCCATCTCCTGCCAACCTAGCAGTTTGAAAGCAAGAAATTGCAAGTAGATAAATAGGTACCACTTCGGTGGGAAGGAAACAGCGTTCTGTGCGCCTTGGTGTCTAGTCATGCCAGCCATATGACCACGGAAATGTCTTTGGACAGCGCTGACTCTTCGGCTTGGAAACGGAGATGAGCACCGTATCCCTAGAGTCGGATTCGACTGGCTTTCGAGCAAGGGAAACCTTTACCTTTACCTATAAATAGGAACTCTCAGTCTGGGGCAAGTGATGCTCTGTATTCTTAGTATTGGGGGGGGCAATAGTGAGAAGGCTTCTAGTGTCCTGGCCACACTGGTGGACCTCCTGATGGCACCTGGTATTTTTGGCTACTGTGTGACAGAATGTTGGACTGGATGGGCCACTGGCCTGATCCAGCATTGGCTTCTCTTATGTTCTTATGAACTGGCCTAAGAACAACAGAACCAAATATTTAAAATAAAGGACTGAATATTTGCCATAAAAACTAAAGAATGTCATCACAAGTATTCACATGATGGGATGGAATATCCACATGCCAACAAAGTGAAAGAATATCCACCACCACGGACTACCATAATCTTTGGGGAAATGTTCTTCATAGGTCTCAAAGTGGTAATTTCTATTAAGTAAGCAATTATTCATACAAAAGGATCTCCACTTTACACTTAACCAAAATGAGCATTTCCATCCCATTTCCATGTAAATAAATATACTGAAACTATGTGTCTTTCTTCTGCTTAAACAATTTCTGAAGCCTAAAACACACAGGTTTCAAAACATTATATCCAATTAGCCGTAACTAGAACCATTATGCAAATTGCCAGAAAAATGGCCAAGAATCACTCAAGTTTACTCTCCACCCCCTTTTCTTTTTGAGGCTAAGAAATTACCATTTTTGAACCACAATTTATTTTAATGATCTATGAAGGGCTGTGTTCAAAGTGACACCGTTGAGCAGTAGTCATTCAGCTGACATGAGGGTAAGGACCACTGTGCCAGCTAGTCCTCTGTTTGTTGGCACAGCAGGCAGTAATAGGGAGCCTGTTCACCTTGCCCATCTCTGTTTGGTTACCTATAATACAATTTTCTTTCAGCTGGGTTGAAAGAATGGGAAATGTTGTACAAAGAGAATGGCAGTGCTTTACATTCAGGAAAAAGTGGCATAATGTTAAGATAAAGATGCCTAAAAGCAAGGGGATGCAAAAGTGAATAACTCAGAATTAGGGCTATCATACTGGTTTTGGCAAGCAGGCATTGTAATGTATTTGATGTTGAGCTAG